TCAAGAGGCTGAGCGGTCAGCGCCAAGACCTAATACAGAACCAGATTGATTGATATGATTAAACAAGGCGTGATTGATACTTCTCCCTGGCTCTGGAGTCTCAATGAATGGGTCGTGGAGTCGTTGACAGTGGAACAACGCTAAGTCAGAGAGGGGACAGACGCCAAGATCGGGTAGCACCGTGGCCCTGGCTTGGAGAGATATTTGACTTTGAGACGGATATCGAGTGTAAGGCGACGGCCGAGGATCCGAGACCGATTGCCATTTACCAAGGCGTCTCTACGAGAATATCCGTACGAGTCTTTAGAGGAGACCCTCAATGGGATGGTCCCATATATCTCAAGCTAAGTATAAGACGAACCCGTGTACAGGCTCGGATACTGAATACAGACTCCCGTCTCTAAGCCTCACAGCTCAAGTCTTCCAGATCTCCATCTTTTGATCCTTACATTCGTTTCTTTATTACCAGGCTGTATAGACCTGTACATACTACAGCTATGGATTCCACATTCTCTCTTAGACGCTTAGCCGTCGCTACACTCCTTTGTGCTTCTCCCGCTCTCGTCAGCGCGCAGGCTGAGAACAAGGCCGCCGCTCTTCAGTCTTGCTTGACGACCGCCGGTGTCCGCAACGTCATCAGCACCGATGCCACCTGGGCCGATGAGACCACCGGCTTCCAGAAGCGTATCAAGGTCGATCCGGCCGCCATCTCCTTCCCCGAGAACAAGGACCAAGTCGCCCTGTCTCTTGACTGCGCCCGGAATGCTTCCACTTCGGCGTCTCCCCTCGGCGCCGCCCACTCCTTCCAGGCCTACGGCTTCGGAAACCCGGGCAGCCTGGTGATTAGCATGGCTGCTTTCAACTCCGTCTCCTTTGACGCTGCCACCAGCCGTCTCACCTACGGCGGTGGTACCCACGTTGGCCCCGTCCTCAAGTACCTCTGGGACAACCACGGCCGTCACTTCCCCCACGTCCGAGGTGCTCACGTCGGTCTCGCTGGCTCCAGCATCGGTGGCGGATACGGCTCTTCTTCCCGCCACCTTGGTACTCCCATGGACAACCTCGAGTCTGTCGAGTACATGCTGTACAACGGCACCATCGTCAACGCCGCTAAGGGCTCTGACCTCTTTTGGGCTGCTCAGGGTGCCGGTGCCTCCTACGGTGTCCTTCTCTCTGTGACCACCAACACCCACAAGCCCCTTTTTGAGACCGCCGTCAACTTCACCATTAACGGCGGCCAACTCGACTCTACGGCCGCTGCCAAGGCCGTCATCGCCATCCAGGACTTCTCCCTCTCCAAGGACTGCCCTGATGAGCTCGCTCTCCGCTGGTCCCTGAGCGGCCCCCCTTACACCGGCACCGGCTACTTCTACGGCAACCCTGCCGACTTTGACACCGTCATCGCGCCTCTTGTCACCGCTCTTAAGGCCATCGGCAGCAACGCCACCGTCGCGAAGACCGAGCTCCCCTTCTGGGACATGGAGGTCGCCGTCGCCGGCGCCGGCATGAACCAGCCCAACGGAGGTACCCTCGGTGGCCGTTCCTTCTACACCCAGGCCTTGACCATCACCACCGACCACCCCTTGACCGAGGCCCAGGCCAAGACCCTATACGAGAGCACCACCATTGCCTTCAACCGCACCGATCTCCGCAAGTCCGGCTTCCTCGACCTCTGGGGCGGCGTCTCTCGCGACATCGCCGATGCCGACACCGCCTACGCCCACGGCAAGAACCTTTGGCTCATCCGCTGGGAGGCCAACTCCGTTGATGCTACCTCCTACCCTGCTGACGGCACCACCTACATGAAGGGACTCATCAAGCCCTTCGAGGATGCTCTCGTTGCCGGCGGCGCTCCTCTCCGTGGCTTCGTCAACTATGCCGATACCGAGCTCTCCGAGGCCGAGTGGAGCTCCCGTCTCTACGGCTCCAACTTTGACCGTCTCAAGCAGCTCAAGACTGTCTACGACCCTGAGGGTGTCTTTGTCAACCACAAGCAGGCTATCCCCCTTCCTTGAGCGGTGGTAGTGGACTTTTCATGATTCTTGGATATGTTTTGGGAACATCAGGGGAAAAAGTGACAGAATACCAATCATTTCGAACAAATCACCCAAGCTTTGATTTCACTTCTCCATCTTCTTCTAGAACCAGTGCCGACAATCGCTTCCAGTGATGTGTTTTCAATTGTTAGCTTGCGATTCCCACGTCTCGACTGAAACTTCGTTCGAAGTCTCTACCTTCGTTTCTATTATTCGCATACTTGTTAGCGATGAGGTTTCAAAAACTCTCCGTCCAAGGTGTCCATGCTCTCCAGTATGAGTCGCGTTCACGCGTAGCTTGCTGTGTGCGGAGAAGAGCATGATGCTTCTCCAAGTTCTCCCCTCAATTCCCGCGGGGTAAAATCCACAGTCCACAAAAACACACAAGTGGAGTTCCTTCGGTCGGCATTCTCGCGAATCACTCAGTTCCGGCTAAATGCAACTTGTGGAGGCGTGGGGTCAAATCATCTCAAAGGCTCAACTCACTCTGGCTAAGTTGGCTTTGGAGAGCCATCTTTGATGAATATTAACCTCAGTCTTTGTTTCTCAAAGTTGACTGTTGGTTTGTGCCCGGTTTCTTGCATTGATCACCAACACCAGTTGTCCTTCAAACTCCGAGTTCACAATGCCTCAAGTTAGGAATCCAATTCTTCCCGGGTTCAACCCGGATCCTTCGATATTGAGAGTCGGAGATGATTACTACATCGCGACATCAACCTTTGAATGGTTTCCCGGCGTCCAAATTCATCACTCCAAAGACCTGGCAAACTGGGAGCTCGTCACAAGACCATTGAGTCGCAAGAGTCAGCTTGACATGCGCGGTGACCCAGATAGCTGTGGTGTCTGGGCCCCCTGCCTCTCCCACGACGGCGAAAAGTTCTGGCTCGTCTTCACCGATGTCAAGCGTAAAGACGGATCCTTCAAGGACACCCACAACTACATTGTCAGCGCGCCAGCCATTGAAGGGCCTTGGTCCGACCCGTTCTACATCAACTCGTCGGGCTTCGACCCATCGCTCTTCCACGATGACGACGGCCGCAAGTGGTTCGTCAATATGATGTGGGACCATCGCCGCCGCTTTCACGCCTTCACGGGCATCGTTCTCCAGGAGTTCGACCCGAAAGCCGGAAAGCTCGTCGGCCCAAAGAAGAACATTTTCCGCGGCACCGAGCTGGCTCTCGTAGAGGGCCCGCATCTATATAAACGCAACGGATGGTATTACCTCCTAACCGCCGAGGGTGGCACGGCGTACGAGCACGCCTGCACCCTCGCTCGTTCCCGCGATCTCTGGGGTCCGTACGAGCTACACCCGCAAAAGTACGTCATAACGTCCAAAGATGCGCCCGACGCGGCGCTCCAGCGCGCTGGCCACGGTGATATTGTAGACACGCCCGACGGAAAGACCTACATGGTTCACCTGACGGGTCGTCCCACGACGGAGAAGAGGCGGTGCGTTCTTGGACGCGAAACCGCGATCCAGGAGGCGTACTGGGGCGACGATGACTGGCTCTACGTCAAGAACGGCCCCGTACCATCTCTGTACGTCGAGGTACCTGGTACCAGAGATGATACTTCGTACTGGGCGGAGAAGAAATACACCTTTGAGAACGGCCTGCCCAAAGACTTCCAGTGGCTGCGGACGCCGGAACCCGAGCGCATCTTCTCAATCGAGGACGGGAAGCTCACGCTCATCGGGAGGGAGTCGATCGGATCTTGGTTCGAGCAGGCGCTCGTCGCCCGCAGGCAGACACACTTCTCCTACGACGCTGAGACCACCGTCGACTTTGCGCCCACCGATGAGCGCGAGTTCGCGGGGTTGACAGCGTACTACTGCCGCTACAACTTCTTCTACCTGACCGTCACCGCGCACGAGGACGGGAAGCGCGAGCTGTTGATTCAGAGCTCTGAGGCTTCGTGGCCCGATAGCGACCTCACGATGCCGTTTCCCGAGGCGGTTGCGCTGCCTGATACGGGCAAGGTGAAACTCGCGCTGACGATTCGCGGGCCGAAGCTTCAGTTCTACTATGCTCTCGAGGGCGAGGAACTCAAGGCTATTGGTCCGGTGTACGATGCTTCCATCATTTCGGATGAATGTGGTGGGCACCAGGCGCATGGAAGCTTTACGGGTGCTTTTGTTGGTGTTGCTGCGTCTGATTTGAATGGGACTGCTAGACGTGCGGCTTTTGATTATTTTACGTACCGTCCTGTTCATGATGAGACCGACCGTTATGATATTTAATAAAGATTCCCTATCGTCTCCGTCTGTACGAGGGCGCTGGCCTTATATTGTACGTCAAATTTTGGCAAGGCATGGCAGAATCAAACGGTTCTGGACTGAAATGCCTACTTGAAATGAATATCTCGAAACATTCGGTTTTGGTAGAACGATGCAGTCTCATGTAATAGGCGTTCCAAGTCTTCGAATCAATGAGCTCCTATGGCTGAAATTCGATCGTGTCGAGTAAAGCAGACACACAAATGATGCTGTTCACGACATGCCTCAGACAAAAAAGATTCATCGCCAAGACAAGCCGGTCGACGAGTAGCGGAGGCATTGATGTTCTGTCATTCTTCGGGCTGCACCTGAATATCGGACTTGGCCTAGAACTTCCCCCTAGGCCTATTTCAAAGTAGTCAGGCTTCCTTCTGGGACGCAAGTCAAAGCAAATCTTACACCAAAGGGAGCAGTCGGTTGACCATGCCGTAAGAGCTTATTGCGAGCAGGGGAAAACCAACACTGCGTATGCTGCCAAGAACGCCTACGTGGACAGGGATGGTGCGCGGTGTATTGTTTGCTTAGGATGTTAAGCCCCATCTTTATCACCAACCGCTTTAAAAACAGGTAGCGCCCTCTTTTCTGGTTGACAACAACTTCCAACAGCATCCATCCTGCGGCACAGTTTCGCCTAGCCTTTACCGGAAACTATCGCACAACCCTAAGAGTCGCCAGCCACGTCTCACAGCATGGAAGAATATTTCGCCACGCGCAAAATCGAAGAGCTACCTAGGCATCGCTCTGACTGGAAACTTGACGCGTTCAGGAGGACTTGCGAAGACATGAGAGACCTCAATTATCCCACCTGGGGCTTCGTCATTTATCGTTGTACCTACGATGATGAAGATCTCTGGGTCCGCTACCTGTCTCAGCTCAAGGACTTTGCCCATGAATGGCTCGTCAAGACTCGCCGAGCTGAGCTGTTAGAACAGTATCTCGATTTTCATGTTATTGAGGATCGTGCCACCCTTGAGAATGCCTCGAGACAGGACCTTAGGCGACACTTCAATCAATGGACTTCGACTCAGAACATTCCCGCCGGGGACGGCTTCTTCTGGAGCAAAACAGGGGCAGAACTACCTCGTTTCCGCTTCTTTCTATACGTCGACAAGCAAATTCTCGCCACCGTTGTTCAATTCCAGAATGCAGACAACGCATACACTGGCCATCCAATGTTCCGATTGTTACTTCCTCCAATGGTTATCGCAGTCGTAGATGGTTCTTGGACTCCAGACACCGTGCAGAGTTATGAGCCACAGAATGAAGACGGGTACCCTGAGATTGATGGCAGTTCGAAGAGATACGTCGGCTTCGAATATTACCTGGCATGTTACGCCACTGCGTTGTACGAGACCCTCCACGGGCCTGGGCTTGTTGACTGGTCTTCTTACACGCGTCCGCCGGCGATAGGACCCAGGGGAGAAGAGACAATGTCTTGATAAATGTTCGGCCTCAACAGTAAAACTACCTACACATGGTATCTAGAGGTCATACAACACTTCATGCCGCATGTTACATTGCGCAGCTCAGAATATACTCAATGTCTGTCAGGCTCTGCCCGGATAGGGGCTAGCATAGGACCGACGAGGGAGGTCTGAGCAACAAAGGAGCAGCTCGAGCATATATAGAGCGCAGAGAGTATACTTCGAGGGAGGGGCAGATTTCAGTAATTCATCCTTTTGACCCTAACAGCAGTTGGCCTCTGTGAGCTTCTTCCCTGCGTCGTATACCTATTGACAATGTCTACATGTGGCAGACTGACACCTGGAACGCCATGTCTCGATCCACCAGCACTGTCTTGTCAAAAGAACTGCGTGCATTCTGGGACGACCTGAACGGCTTTGATCTGGCCACCGACGAGAGGACTCAGCCAAATGCAATAATTACGAGCATTCACTTGCGTCCTCCCTAGATGGAATCTCTGAACTATTGGCAAGGGCCTTCGCACATCCGGTGCATCAGCAGGCCCATGTGAAGGCTTTTTGTATCATCACCTCATTCATCTGATATTCAAGCAAGCTGCTATAATTATACCGAACCTCTGCTCGTCCTCTTAGCCCCCTAGAAAACCATGCATAAGCGGCCCTTGAGCTGATTAGATAAATAGTGCTCCGCCATCTCGTTAGCCTGTTCAACATCGTACGTCTTCTCAATGTGCGTTTTGCAACCATTCTTTGCATGCAACTCCACCATCTCCCTGCTCCGTTCAGGAGTGCATATCAACGCACCACGGATAGTCTGCTCCTTGAAATTCAGCGCAAAGGGATCGACCTCAAAAGGCCCATCGGCGGGAAGACCGACATCGACCAGCACACCACCCTTGCGCAAGAATTGCTGTCCGAACCTCACAAGCGGCCGTGCCTCGGTGGTGATGACGACGCGGTCGACACCGGGGTTGGTATCATAGAATGAAGTCTGGAGCTCTTCAACAACCTTCTTCTGAGACTCCTCTGTGTCGATGAGGTACGTGCAATCGGGCTTGAGGTGTGAGGGCACATCGTTGGCTAGGTCGAGTCCTTCTTGTCTGTTGTCGATGACGATGACTTTGTATCCCAACGCCTTGGCGTATTGCACACCGAGATGTCCCAGGCCACCGATACCCACGATAGCAAGCCACTGGCCCTTCTGCCCCTGCGCGGCACACAGCGCGCCGTAGACCGTTGCGCCAGCGCAGAACAAGGGCGCGGCCTCGGCCCAAGGGATGGATTCGGGAATCTTGGCGACGACACGGGCGTCGGCTTTCATGTACTGCGCGAACCCGCCGTCCAGGGTAAGTCCCAGCATGCCGACGAGGTTATCGCATACCTGTCTCCCTTGGTTGCACGAGTTGCACTTGCCGCAGCAGCCATAGGTGTTGATAGAACCGACACGGTCACCGACTTGAAGACCCTGCTTGCCTGCTTCGGAACCGAGCCTGATGATGGTGCCGGCGGGTTCGTGGGAGCCGACAAGGCCTGGTTTTGCGCCGGCCGAGGCGTAGACACCCTGCTGGACCTGGAGATCTGTGTGGCAGTAGCCTGCGGCGGCAATCTTGACCAGGACGTCGTTTGGGCCGAGGTCGGTCGGGACGTTTACATCCTTTACCTCATAGCCTTTGTTGAAGTCTTTGATTGTCGCGGCGCGCATTTGTTGGGGGATCTGGTCTGCCATGTTGGAAGGAGGTTGAACAGCAATCAGTAGCGATGTCGCAATGTTGTTGTTACTCAGGATTGGGTATGTTTGGCTCAATGCAATTGGAAGATACCAAAAATGGGGTTTAATAGGGTGTCCAGAAAATGAGTTCACAAGAACCTGTTTGTCTTTGATGTCTTTCAATACTTATAGGCTGGCGAGACCGTCAACCGGTGACCGATTTTGTCTGTGAAACGTCATAATAGACGCTCATCAGATGTGATGCGAAATGCAATATCAGCGTCACAGGATCCAATGATAGTTACGTCAAGTGGAACAGTTTGACGGACTTTGCAGCCTCATAGTGTCATAAAAGTGGCCCATTCAGAAACGCTGGTCCGGGAGCATATGAACGGTATCGGACCCCATTCAGCATGTAAGCTTTCGGAAAAATTGTAGTATCGTCGATGTCTGCCACTTCTCTGCCATGTAACTGACATGTCAACGATGGTGAACATTATGCAGTACCAGAATTCGATCTTCTCACACTTACAGCATCGGTTAGAACTTCAAGTCTATTGGTTGCTAGTGGTAAACTGGTAAATGTCGGTGAGTTTGGAAAAGTTCACAAATGTGTGAAGTCGATGTCCCGTCGCCATATGCAAACCCAAGTTACGACGTCGGCCGATTACCGCTGTCTCAAGTACGGTGATGTAACCTTGAAATCATCACAACAGTTTCGTCTGGTGAGAGTGCATCGGAGCTTTACACCCTCGGTGACATCGGTGTGAGGCAAGCTAGATCTGTGGGCTCAACTCCACCTAGACCCACCGTGCCGAGCGGGATCCTGAGATGCATCCGCCATCGAGATCGCGCTGGATACAGACCCGGGTTTCCTTCAATATTATACACGTTTTGATAAGAATGCTAAGGGCGCAATTAATTGCGAGTCTAGTTGTAGGGCTCTACGTTCCTTTCTCAATACCCCATCATGACCAGGTGCATCTCGTCTTAATGTTGGGCTGACCTGCTGCGCCAAGGGTTGGGTGGTAGACCTTCTTGGTGTCCGCAGTAACGGGATCCACCACCTGGCACTGGTCGCCCTCGTCGTAGTAGCTCCCCTTCAACTCCGTCTCACAGATTCTCTGCCTCCAGTTGCGCAGGCTGTCATTGTACGCGGCAGGTGGTGCTGGTGAACAGCTGGCGTGGAAGACGGTGATATATTCGGCCAAGACTGTGCTAGACAGGGCGAACAAAATGGTTGCTGTCTTGAGATGCACTGTGGAATGTTAGGAATGCAAGTCCGGTTCTTGAGTATTGGGAGAATGTTTGACTAACTGATGAAGTAGTGATTGTTATGAGGAGCGATTGATTTGATGTTTGCTTCAATCGCCTTGAACGAGATGTGACTATAACGTCTAACATGCATTGAAAGACCGGATTGGTGTGGGCTTAAGTATACCGGACCCAGCACGAAATCGCAGCATTGAATACTATTACTGTTCGAAGTTCAATTAAATTGAAGGAAACTCTAAGAAACAGCTAGGAGTTGAAAGTCGAATGTCGCATTCGCTTTTCCCCCTTTTGAAGTGCTAAGCTTTGTACTAAGTGGGCTGCAAGAGCAACCCTCGCCCGCTCGTTCCGATCACACAGACCACAACGACATCACTGAAGTATTGAAAATATCGTTTCGTCGTTGGAAAAGTTCTTCAGATCTAAAAAGAGAATCATTTGCTTTCTGGGCTTTTGCGCTTATTATTTGATTAATTGATTGTGTGTTAGCAAGTCGAAGCTGGTCACGTCTGATGTCTCGTTCCTAGGATTCTGATGCTGCCCCAGCCCGACGGAAGTTATGACTTCGTCTCCTTCGCCTATACGCCAGATCCAGGACCAATAAACCTTATTTAATGTCAAGCAATACTTATTATATTTGACGGTGAACTATAAACTCCCAAGCAGCTGATGGGCGACCCACTATGCCTCAATAAGGGCTTATGTTATCAGTAATCCAACTTGTTCACTAATAGTTGCCACCTCACATAGACAAATGTTATGGATTGTTTAGCTAGCCCGCAAGGAATTTCGTCTTTTGAACCTGCCCGTCATGGTTCTAGGAGCCTTTGATTATGTGTCCCTAAGACAGCGCACGTTACCGAAGCATACTTGGTGAGACGGAGACGGATCTTTTCCAAACGGATCCTCGGAATATATAAGTCTCATCTGATGTGTTTGAGGTCGAAACCCCGCTACTCCTCTGCCTCTTCGCGCGCCAAGCATGAGATATCCCCCCTGTCATGATGGAGTACTTAACGGGATTGCTCTCACGCATATTGACACAGACTCCAATATATTCGCTCTATCCAATCCGAAAAAGAACGGAGCAGAATACCTCTCACTCCCACTCTTATTGATGGCCCTGTTGATCGTTGACACGAAGAAGTCATCTGTCCGTCTCATGAAGCAGTCGGCAATGTTGACAACGAATGCGCCGGGGATGGGATCCGCCTTGATCCAGTGGCCGGACTTGCTGAGTACTTCGAGACTGCCAGATGAGTCTTGAGTAACAATAGTGAAGCATTCGACATCAGTGTCTGCGCCGATTCCGTTCTGCTCGTCTACCGAGTGTGAAGTGGAGAATGCACATTCCCGCCTCTGGCCGCTTGACATAGGTATTCGTCGAAGTAATCTCTAGGCAGGTGGAGCGCGAATGCAAAGTCATCCGACGCAAGAGTCTCATGAGCTTTGTGTGATAGGCGTATAGATTGTCCTAGAAACTAGGTAGGTCGGTAGGCAGATGTTGACGGACTTCGACTGCTTCAGGCCTTTCTGCGCGTCGTAGGCCTAGTCGAAAGCTTCACTCAAACTTGGGAAAGAATGAACAGGGAAGAAAACGCCCTGATGTTCTAGAATTGAAATCGCAACCTATCCTGAATTTTCCCCATCTTCAGGTCTTACTTGCAACAATGACATCTCCTTTGTCACAGAGCCGCCGTCTAACTCGGCGCGTAGAAGTAAATCAAGATACAGACACTGAAGTGGACATCTATGTCGACAAAGAAACCCGTCCGTTTCCTCAATCCCATCCCAATTACAGTCCTTGGGAGTTTGTGGGGTTATGGGTGGTCTCCGGATCTTTCAATACTGGCGCTTAGACGACGGGTTCTTCCTCGATCTCCTTGGGCCTGAATGGCTGGGTAAGCGATTTAGCCCATTCCGCGAGGTGACTAGAGGCAACGATCCGTAAACTGATGGGGCTAAAGCAATCGATGATTGCAATCGTCGTCGCTCACACCTTTGTTGGGTTTGTGTGCATAGCTGGAGGCCACCC